GGGACAGTTTAACTTCTTGCCACTGGAGATGACAGAAAATAAAAGCATCTCAACTAGCTCAGTGGCTGAAAGTAAGAGAGTTGTTCAGACCAGAGAATTTTCTGTACAGACAGTTATATTTCTCTAGGTTCTGGGGAGTCATTCACCTTCCACTGTTACTGTATCATATCTAAGAATTTGGGCAAATTTTAGAGGTCTGTCATCTCCAGCATTTTGTATGGACCTGTTTCCCGAGGCTGAACACAAATCTTAAAAAAATGCACATTTGGTGAGAGGATGTAAGCAACTCTTCTCTTTCCTGATGGGCTTTATTTTGTGCATTCTCGTTTCTCTCATGGAAGCCTTATACAGAGGTTCCTGTTAGCTCCTTCAAAAATGCTTTTCCAGCATTAGTTTGACAAATGCCTACTGGGGCAGAAGTAACAGGTACCCTTTCAGCTGGGCTGTTGGAACTGTTTGTGGGGTTGGTCAGTTGGTGAACCGCCCTGGAGCAAGGTTAAAAATAACCATTGGAAGTTGCTTATACTTAGGCTGCTGGTGAAAAAGGTGTTTATTAAACTGTTCTGACGTTAACGTAACCATTGTTAAGATACCCCTCATCAACCTTTACAGATCCAAGTTTCTTGGATCAAAGGTAGCCAAAAGCTTAAAATAATACCTTGTTTACATACTGCATCCCAAGTGCTTTTCCCCTCTCTTTGATGATCATGGCATGGTTGGTTTGGAACTTTCTGAAGACAGAGTGCACTGGCTTTTTTTAGATTGTAAGATTTCAGTGCAGGGTGTTTGTCTTCATGTGTGTTTATATAGTATCTAAAATAGTACGACCGTGGTCCTAACTGTGGATGTATGGGTAATGCTTTGTTTAAGAACTTGAGTGCTGGTTCCTTCCTCCAAAGTGTTTCTTACTCTGGGAAGTTCCTCTAGTTTCAGTGTAGAATACATTACTTTACAGTGTCAGATATCTTTGAGCTAGCTTTTGTTGTTTTTATTTTTGTATTCATTATCATCCTTTACCTATGTATGTTTTAGGGGTTTTTTTTCCTTCCTCCTTTTTTCTTCTTAGTGTAATATTCCAGCTGTAGCTCTGAAATCTATGTTGAAAAGAAAGAACAAACTTAAAATTCCTTTGATAAAGTAAAATAATACAAACTTCTACACAGATGCATTTAACCTTTTTTTCCTCTTTTGGGATGCATCGTGTTACACCGTTGCAAGAGAACTTGAAATCAAAGTTGACTAATCTCTTGCACTGAATAAAGTACATAATTTAAAGGAAACGCCACACATAGACAAGTAGATTTTATTTTCAATTTTAGCGTACTATTAAATTAGCATTAACTGGTAAAACATAATTTTAGAAATGAGATTTAATCTGCCAAAATTGTAAGGTTTAGATGAGAGAACCTTTGGACAAAATTAATCAACAAAACCTAAGCTAGCTCAATAAAATCAACTTAGGCATTTGCAAATCCGGAACTGGAAAGAGCCAGATGTTTGATTTCCATTCAGTCACTCTGTTCTGCAAGTGTAACTGCATAAATATGGAATAGTAATAGGCTTATATGTAAGGCTGTTGCTTGATCTCAAAATGTGTTTATAGAAGCTTGGGAGCATTGTTTTTGTCGTTTTGTATTTAGGAGACAGAAATGCAGAAATTCGGGTTTTGGAAAATAACATCATGGGTCCGAGCTAGTCGGCACAGATACCACAGTGTGTATCAATAGCACAGAAGACAAGAGAGAACTGAGAAAGAGGAGGATCAGAACACTGTTTAGGACTCCTGTATTACAGCTAGTCATGCTACTGGAGACAAGTTTAAGCATCACATTATATTGTTACACTTTTGTATAAACGTGTTCTTCAGGGGGTTTTAAATATAGTTTACATATTATTATTTGTAAGCATTTAGCTTACTTCTATTCACATGGTTCCCATGAACTCTGATTTCTTTGAGACTCCCCAAAGAAAAGTAGCAGGGCATCTTTTCTCTAGATTTTTTTTCCTTTGTCATCAGTACAGTGTGAGACATGAAAATGAATGCTTAAGACCAAGATTGTAGTAAGTTGTGCTTGCTCACTGCTTGGACGGAAGTATGCAAGTCTAGAAACGCTTTGCTTAAGCCAGTATTTCTAAGCCATGCCTTGGAAGAGGTTAACATTGTATTTGTTTACTTTAGTAAGTGGATGAATTCAAAATTGTTTTCACTTAGATTCAGGTTCACAAAGAACAGGGGTATTATTTAGCAGCAGCAAATGAAGAGTTTTCTCAATAGAGGTAATTAATATTTGAAGTGTTCAATATTTGAGTGACAAATTTAACAATTAAATGTTTCTGTTAGATCAAGAGACGTTAAAGTAGAATAAAGTCAGTTTCGAGTATTTTATGCTGTGTTCAGATACTGCTTCTGTCCGTTTTTAACTGAATGTCACAAAATATAGTCTAGAATATTAGCTACAGGTCATTAAATTTCAGATTGAAAGGCTTCTCCTGAAATACTTGTTGTTTTGAACTTTCAGAACATGGCTAATGAAAACGGGGGCACACACTACTGTTAACGTTGTGTAATTTTTTCCTATTAAAATCTATGCAAGTAGGTTGTACTTTTAACCAAGATAGACCATAATTGCTGAAAACATCCTTACTTGACAGCTCCCCAGCATATTAATGTTCTCTTTTTCCTGTAGATCCCCCTTTAATGATAGATCTTTTCCTTTTAAATTGTAATTTCCTCTCTTTCAACCACTTTTTCCTTTGTTCTGAATGAGCACATGACTTTCCTCCCTGGATTTAAGACAAGCCATCAGAGTTTTATGAGGAACTTGTCTTACAGTATTATGGTTTGCCTAGAGGTTAGCAACCTTTCAAGGCTGTTAAGGTTAGCAACCTTTCAAGGCTGTTATGCGTGACAGTGGAATTCTTTCAGAATCTAGAGACTAAGAGTGCAGCAGAAACTTCCTGATAATCGGGAGACACTGATGAGGTACCTTGTTTTCTCAGAGGGCAATCGTTTCTGGGTTCCAGTACGTGAACAGGGCGAGAGCCAGGAGCTGGAGCCAGGGTGGCAGAGGAATGCCTCTCTCAAGATGCCGTGGGTTCCAGCTTCTTGCTGTGTGCTGGCCGTGCCGGCGTGCCATTCAAAAACTGCACATGTGCTATCTTTGGATCTGGTACCATAAATTGCTAACCCAATCTGTAGTAGTCCGTCACAGCCAGATGGGATAAGTAATTTCTAACTTTGAGGATTCATATACTTTTTGGTATGGGTGTTGTTTTTTTAAAAAAAAAAAATGGGATCTGGGAACACTAATTAGTTACTGTTTGTTCTCCTCTTTGCCTGCTTTACCCCCCACTCCCACACATAGCCTTTGGTTTTTCTGCTTTTAGTTTGCTATTTCTTCATCTGGTTTCTCTATTATCACCCATCTTGCCTGTTCTTGTATTGGACAAGCCAACAATTACTTAATAATTCTTTCAGCCAGGAACAAGCTGCACAGTAGAAGCAGAAACTGTCACAGCAGTTGACCCAGTACATTATGTACATCTGTAGCTTATTAATCCTGTATTGTCAGCGAGTTGTAGTCAAATATGCACCTAAAGTGAGCTCTCAGTTAGAGACTATGGCATGATATCTAGGAAGTCGTAGTCAGATGAAAATACTGGTAATAACATTAATTTTGTATCTTGAAGATTTGTGTTACATGTATTGTTCTTGTTGCATCGTCTCCTGCTCCCATGGCAGTGACTGTATAGAACATCTTGTTTATCTGGCTATTTTTCTTTGATTTTGATCTTTGCTTTTTGTTGTGTTTGTTTTGGATGAAATGCTGCTAAAATTGTAGATGAATGGATCAAGATAATACTGCCTCTATGTCTTAGGCTATGTTCTACATAAGCTACTTCTCCTAGAGTAAAACTGAGATTTTTACAGTTCAACAAAGAAGAATTCGTTAATGAACTGCAGTATTTTGATATAAGTCCTTTTCACTATATGCTGATGTTTTCGCTCTTTTCCCCATTTGAAATGTCCACTGCCTTGGCTTTGCAATGCTTACCAAAGAGATGTTGGGCGGTCTCAAGCTGGCCTGAGCGGCACCCCAACTCCCCATCTTAGATCCTCCTCCCCTGCGGGGTCAAGTTGCACGTTGGAAGCGTCACCTTCAACATACACAGACAGGCTGGATGCTCCCTGACTGCCTTAGTTTTGCTGAACATGCGCTGGGTGGCCCTCCTGCGCCTTCGCTGTTACTCGGGCTTTTCCTCATAAATGCTCGATTTGACTCTGCACGTAAATATGTTCATTCCGTGCAGCCCCTGTGGACAGTGCAGGACAGCGTGAGAGGCCGCTGCAGCTCAGCCTGGGCTGTTGCTGCCACCAGAATATTTTGTGTTGTTGGCTTTATGCTATGTTGGGAGAGAGATAGGCCAAGAGTGCTGGATGACGATGGGAAAGCTGTGGTAACAGGCTGTCTTCAGGCTGCAGTTTGTGTAGCCCGTGTTAGTTCAAAGCTCTTCAGCAGGCTCATCCATTCCAACAAAAATGTCAGGCTGTTCAGAATTATCAACTTGGGCAGTCAGAGAAGTGCATTTTCCTGAGGTGTCTAATGACATCCTTGAATGAGCTGAGGAAAGATTATCCGGTGGTGCTATGGAAAAATTTTCAGTAATCTATACTGGGTCCTAATATAGTTGGTAAGAGTTGTAAAATATTTAACTGGCGAGTTTAAATATTGTGTGTGTGTATGTGTGTATATATATATGTGTGTGTGTGTGTGTACAGACTTTATTTCTGTTAAGTCTGGCAACATGGCTTCAAACAAATAACCTTATATTTTCTAGCATACAGGATGCAGACACCCCCGTCTCCACACACAGTTCACTCTAAATGAGTCAGAACATAGTCACTTCTGCTTCTCGTCTCATTTAATGGACGGATGTATACAATGGCGTTAATAGGCAATTTTTTACTGGTATGTTTAATTTTATCTTTCTCGTTTCTCAGGATGTGATCTTCGTGGTGAGCTGGTGGGAAAACTGAGTTGTAAATCACCCCAATGGAAGCAGACAGTGATGTTGCATTGGACATTTTAATCACAAATGTAGTGTGTGTTTTTAGAACAAGATGTCATTTAAATTTGCGGAAGATCGCATTAGAGGGAGCAAATGTGATATACAAGCGTGATGTTGGGGTAAGAGATTCCGTATACCTCAATTATCTGTTTTTACAGATATTCCTTAAGGTGAACATTCTTGTGTCTGTTATCTGTATGGTGTATAGAGAAAAGCGTAGTTTTATTTTTGTAGTTCTGTCTTGATAGGCATTTAGTCTGTCGTGTGCTAAATGTACGGTAAGGGAAGTGGGTAAGGTTCATAAGACTGCAACTAAGAAGGTGAATGTAGGGCACAAGGTATGTGTTGAGACCTTCTACACCTCAGGGTCCATTTTGTTTCCCAAAATTTGATGGTTTTATCAAGGAAATGTATCCTGATAAGGAGTCAGCAATGTGAGAGTCACATTGTAATAAGAAAAAAATTAGCACAATACTTGTGGCTTTCAGCTTTTTATTCAGAGGAGAATACGTTTGTTTAATCTGTTCTATAAACACTGAATCACTGACTGAGATATTCCATGCTTATTTTGCTCTTCTCAGGAGCTGTTTGTTTGGGGTTTTTTAATTAGTGAAAGAGATGAAGGAACAGTTCAAGGCTATCAAAAGTAAAGGAAGAATTATTCATGTAACAGTTGATTTTTTTTTCCAGTATGAAGTTGAACTATCACTAATTCTCAGTTTTGCTTTTATATTTCTTTTTAGAAAGTATTAATGAAGCTTAGAAAACCTAGGATTACGGCCACCATTTGGTCCTCAGGAAAAGTTATTTGCACAGGAGCCACAAGGTAAATTCATGAGGATTCTTTCTCTATCTGTAAATTCTGGTCTGTTCTGAAATATAAGGATGTAAATGAAGAAGATGGCCAGAGGCAGTACTTGTCATTGGTAAGATTCACTCACACTGGATCACACATAGATCCTTGCCAAGCCGCTTATTTGGGAGGAGGTTTTCTGTGTGAAGTATCTGGCTCACACTCAGTTGAAATCTTAAGCAATATTAGTTCAACCCTATGGGAGAGCAGCAGGAAAATCTTCTTTATGAAGACAACCCTAGGGGTTTTATTTGAGATTTTTTAATGAATTCTGTGTTTTTAGCCATAACTTGAGACTTGGGCAGGGATGACCTTTATTGAGGGATATTTCTTACTATTTCATAAAAATCCACCTGAATTTAATCAAGTTACACAGTATCGATGCACTGGAAGTAAGCAAAATCAGACTCTCAGATCAGATATACTTGACACTCACTAAACTTTTAACAGCTAAATTCCTTTGTCTGCATTGTGGAATAAGGGTAAGATACAAGAGTAAACTTGCAAACTTTCTGTATATGATCTCTGTCTCAAAATGGAAGGTAACTGTTCAGGATGTTAACTCCAGAATTCCTGTAATCATACTTATCTCCTAAGAGTATATGATACCATATATGATCAAAATACATCTCCCACTTCAGCTGGAGCCAAATGCCAAGATATTCTTCAAACAGGGCATAAAGGACTTCATTTGAATATCTAGGTAGTTAAAAAGTAATACGTACAGTGGGATAAAGTGAAGGCTATGCATGTGATCATGGTTCATGCACTGCAAGTTATTTTGTAGTCTGATATATTTGCACACAAATACATAATCTATTTCTGTTAATGCTAGATTCTTTTCTTTCTCCTTTATAGTGAAGAAGAAGCTAAACTTGGTGCCAGACGATTAGCTCGTAGTCTACAGAAACTAGGTTTTCAGGTAATTCTAATGAAAAATGACTTGTGTGACCCAAGCAATGCTGGTAGACTATTTTTTAGAAAGAAACAAAAGTGAGAGAGCATAGCAATTTAGCAACGAGCATGTTTTCATTTGGATGCCCCTTTCGTGTTGGCACACATTTTCCAGATGCTGATTAGAGAGGAGCTGCTTTATTTTGTGAATTTGGGTTTCATTTGGCAGCTCAGAGTAGTGCTTCTTCACTGGCTAATGAACAACAAAATGTATTTAATAAATGAAGCACACACGGAATTTTCTTGGATAGACTTTACAATATCTTGAAAAATTTATTTAGAAGGAATGCTGGAGAGTATAAACCTGTTATTTGAACATAATTTTTCCTCGTTTCTGGTGGAATAATAGATACCTGTCCTTCTTGTTAGGGCCTCTAATTAAAGAGGGGGGAAAAAGTGCTTCTGTGCTGTCAGATTGCCCAGCAGGAAATAAGCCAAATAAAATACATAGGACATGAACCCCCTCTTTTTTCTGGGTTTGAGTGAATCATAGGTTGGTTAAGGTTGGAAGGGACCTTGAAGATCATTTTGTTCCAGCCCCCCTGCTGTGGGCAGGGACACCTCTCTCCCACTAGCCCAGGTTACTCGAAGCCCCATCCAGCCTGGCCTTGAGCACCTGCAGAGATGGGGCATCCACAACCTCCTTGGGCAACCTGTGCCAGTGTTTCACCACTCTCATGGTGAAGAATTTCGTCCTAATATCCAATCTAAATCTACCCTCTTTCAGTTTCAGGCCATTGCCCCTTGTCCTGTCACTATAGGCCCTTGTAAAAAGCCCTTCTCTAGCTTTCCTGCAGGCCCCCCTCATGTGTCGGAAGGCTGTTATTAGGCCACCCTGTAGCCTTCTCTTTTGTAAGCTGAGTAACCCCAGCTCACTCAGTCTGTCTTCATAGCAGAGGTGCTCTGGCCCTTCGTGGCCCTCCTCTGGAGCTGCTCATAGAATGTTACTAGTCATCTCAGTGATGTTGCCAGTCTTCTCAGTGATGTCCAATGATAGGACAAGGGGCAACGGGTGCAGGCTGAAGCATAGGACGTTCCACAAAAACATTAGGAAAGACTTGTTTACTCTGAGGGTGACAGAGCACTGGAACAGGCTGACCAGAGAATTCGTGGAGTCTCCTTCTCTGGAGACATTCAGAACCCGCCTGGACGCGTTCCTGTGTGACCTACTGTAGGTGATCCTGCTCTGGCAGGGGGCCTGATCTCTAGAGGTCCTTTCCAACCCCTGATATTCTGTGTTTCTGTGAAAACCACCATTTGCATTTCATAGTAAAGGTTGAAAAACAGCAGCGTAAGTGACTTAAAGTGGCGCCATTCTGTACTCTTCCTGGTAGTCAGTTGTGCTGTTTACGCACAGTTTCAGTTTACAGACAGACAATTCAATAGACACAGCGGCTGTCCTTTGGCAGGGAGAGGCTACATTTGATTGTAGCGCATAAAGGCAGTGGTGACAGTGTATACAGCGGAAATGCTGCATCAAACCCAAGCAAAGGTTAGACGTTTTGTTTAAATTGCATGTGTTATACTCAGCCTCCTGAAACTGGACTGGAACTTTAAATCAATGAGGTGAACAGTGCACCAAGTTTTATTATAGAATGAGCAGTTGAGGTGGACTATACTTCCAAGATTAAAATGAAAAAGTTTCTTCAGTAATGTTGCCAGGACTGACTTCTCAGCAGTGTATTTGTTTAAGAATTGTCTGTTAGCTATTTTATTGTCATCTAAAATGGCTGTGGTAAAGAATAACTGAAAGCCAGTAGTTTGAGCTGGGTTTCGGAAAGTGACAGAGTAGAAAATCAGTTCGCTGTACTGGCCACTGGAGATTTGAGACAATACAATTTTCACCTTTTTTCTTCTCTTAACTTTTTAGGAACAAGGCATTAAAGAAGTTTTCAACTTGTATGAGGTTATTGTAACAGTGAAATTTAAGCTTTTTCTCTGCTTATTTTGATGTTACATGAGCTATTTAATTTAGTTTATTTTCAATTTTGAGGTGTTCAGTACAGCAGAATAAGTTGTTTCTGTGTCTCATTCTTAAACTGTACTACAGCAATATAATGCAACTGTGAAGCATATACTTCAACAGTTACTGTACTGTAGAAGGATAAAGTAAGTGTTTTGAGTCCATTAAGTACTGTTTGGATTATTATTAGAAAGGCTTCAATCACAAAGTTTTCATTTTGGAATCTTATAAAAATATTCTAATGAATATTCTTTATTTTTTTGCAAACCATACACCTGCCTCACTGTAAACAGAATTTCTAATATCTCTCTTTCCTTTCTTCTGAAAAGGTAATTTTCACAGATTTTAAAGTTGTGAATGTTTTAGCAGTGTGCAACATGCCCTTTGAGATCAGATTGCCAGAATTTACGAAGAATAACAGACCTCATGCAAGGTATGGTAGTATGATAAAGAATTATTGTCTTGGTATACTTGTTAAGCTTTTCTTTTTCTGTTCAAGATCTATATTTTTTACTTTTTATTTTGTTTTCTAGTTATGAACCAGAACTTCATCCTGCCGTGTGTTACAGAATAAGAACTCTCAGAGCTACCTTACAGATTTTTTCCACAGGCAGTATCACAGTTACAGGTATTTTGATGTCAAAAATAAATATTTAACTTGTTGGGAATATTTAACTTGAGGGCTAATAGATTTAGGAAAGGAAGCCATTCAAATCAGTTAAAAGATTACATTGAAGGGATTTTGATTCCCAGTGCTAGAACCTAGTTTGTTTTTGAGTTACAGTGCCCAAAGAGTTCCAGAGGAAGTGTTCTTACTGAAAGGTTCAAAAATTACTTCAATTGAACGTACATATTCTGGGTTTTTTTATAAAAACAAAAGTGAAATAGGACATGGGAATGGAGGTATTTATTATTTAAATGTTTGAATTTTATTCTTTTTTTTCATCTTCACAGTGAATGTAGCATTAGCATCTCTCCCACAAATATATGTTTCCAAAATGGAGATTTATGGAAACAGAGAGAGTAGCATAGCATTTTGTTGTAACTGAAATTGACCAATACTTGAAGTTCTTCAGACTTGTGCTGTCTTCTGGTAAAGCTCAGCTGAGAGAGAACCACCCCCTGAGCAGCAGGCATCAGTGATTTTCCACATATAGTCAGAGATATGATTGTCCTGAGCCTTGGAGATGCCGTGCCATGCTTTTGCCTCTCTCTTCCTAATTTTCATTTTTCAGTCTTTGTTATGTGTGCTTGTGGGGCGTCCACCACAGTTTTCCAAATACGAGAAGTTAGGTTTTATAGAGAACACTTGTTGAGATGGTACAGAACCAAAAAAATGTTGCTTTGTATCGGTTTTTGTGGGAATGCTGTCTTGTGCTTGTTAGAGCTCAGCTACTGGTTCAAGAGTTGGGTAGGCATTTTTGTTTCCACATCTTTGTTCCTTAACCAATACCTAGGCTTCCTGGGGAACATTTTTCACAAGATACCAGGAAAAGTGTTTTTGAAGAGTTAACTCCATCAGGTTTGGTAATCTGAAAATATAGGGCTAAAAAGTATTTTAAGATTGCAGTATATGTTCTGAACAAGCAACTGGTCTAGGCAAAACTAGAAGCTATATTTAAAATTACTAAGAAGCTTGAATACCACTGCAGTAATAAAAGGCTCTCAGTATGTCTTGTCAGCCTCCTAATGAAATTCAGCGTTTCTGTAAGATTCTTATTCCTCCATATACAGGACAAAATCATTTGCATATTTCCAGAATTGTCCACTCAATATGAAGGCAAATGTCATAAACATCACAGTTTTTTCCTTTGTTCTGGTTTACCTGTTACAGTGACTTTGAAATATCTCTGACCTCTGTTGGTTTTGATGGCTTCTATTTTACCTAGGCCTTTTGTCTAGGCAAAAGAAATGATCAGTCATATGCTTCTTGTTCTAAAAATATCTTAAATTACTTTTCAGCCTTACTGTACTCCCTGTCAGGTACATTCAGATGAGGTTCCTTTTGACTATTCATGGTTTCTGTAGTACCAGTACTTGGCATGCCACTAACTCAAAGAATTTTATCTGAGATACATAATTAGAAATGTTATAAAAATAACCAAACAGGAAGGTGGTTTTTTTAAATAGAGCAAGTATAAAAAGATTGAGTTACACTGATAAAAGAAAATAAAAAGAGCTTATATGTAATAGGAAGATGTATTATTCTTCCTCGAAAAACGGCCATTAAAGGGGTTGTTTTGGGGTCTTGTTTTTTATTCTTCTCTTGAAATCCCTGCAATGACAATCCAGTTCTTATATCTCTTCAACCTTCCAGAGAATAGCAATTTTTTTTACAAGAATTAATTACCTACTCATAATCTTACCTTTTGAAGGCTTTCTCTAGAACTTGCGTATCAGTAACAGCACACAAATATAAGGAAGGTGCAGTATATGCCCAGAAGGCAGGTGTCTCTCACCAGGCTTGTTTTCAGCAAGTGCTTAACTCGTTAAGTTTGAAAATACAGGAAGAATCTTACTCCATTCTGTTTTCTTTCTGACTGAGCATGTAAATTAGAACAATATTTCTATAGTTAAATTATAGATTACTTTTAAAAGTAAGTTACTTACGATTTTGGGGAACCATTTTGAACAGTTCTCTATACTTAAAAGTAACCTTTGAAGTCTAAAATAAGGTAAAAAAAACCCTGAGTTTGCAGGCATCAAAGCACATGAGAAATTGCTCTTCTCGTTTATCTGCATCTTCAAACTTAGATCCAGGATGAATTTTGTCTGGCACGTTACTTATCGCTTACTACAGTCTTAATTGTTCACTGCATAAAGTGGTGTAGTGCCAGTAGAAAGTATCACTAGCTCATTCTTCCTTTCCCAAATGCTCATAGATCATGTTAGATAACCTTCAGATGCTTCATCCTCAGACAGTAACCATTCCCTGTCTTGCAGATCCTGTCCTGAGATTGACAGTGGACCTATTTGCAAAATCCAGTCTAGAAAATAATAATCTGTAATTTCCAAAGATCACATAATCTTGCTCAAAACATACTTGGGTTAAATCTAGTATTACTTAGCAGTAGTTTTTGTTGGTAGGTTTTTAAGAGAAGAGATATAAGTGGCTGGGCTTCGAATAATACAAATTCCTGGAAGATTAGCGTAGGTAAAAAGTATTTCTGTTACCTCTGCCACTCAGCCTCTGCCTTCTCTGGGCTGACTTTTTAAGCCAGTAAATCAAAACGTACAAGTTTTTATGAAATTAAATGGCAGTATTATTTTTTTGTAATTTAGCCATTGACCAGCATAGAACATCTTACAGATTCCACGCTAGTCTTCTCTTGGAAGTGAACCTTATTTAAGTTGGGAGAAATGGGGAAGAAATTATTTTTGTCTACAGTGTAAAGTTGTGGTAGCTAAAAATATTAAGGTTATTTTACAGATACTATTGTTGGTTTAATTTCCGATTTGCTGATTTTTTTCTCTTCCTACTTTTTTTTATTTTTGTTTTGTTTTGTTTTTTAATGTCTCAGGGCCAAATGTAAAGGCTGTTGCCAGTGCTGTGGAACAGATTTACCCATTTGTATTTGAAAGCAGGAAGTAAATTTTATAAACCACCACTTGATGGTTAGGTTCCCTAACCAAGCACCTTTAAAGACTGCTGCACATTGGACTAAAAGCAAAAAGGAAAACTGGACCAACCATAGCAAAAGAATAAACTCTTTTACTTGCTCATGGCCACAGTGTAGACTCCAGTTCTTTTGGATTTTACTCTTAACAGTGCTGTATTGTAAAAACAGAAGTTTACAAGATATGAAATTGCTGCTTTTAAAAAGACATTATATTTATTTTTGCAGTAATTTCTGTGTATTCATAAGCAAAGCTGTCACGATGTGCACTACCTTTAAAACATTATTTTTTTTTTTTTAGTTTGAGCTTGTGTTTTATTTGTGAATAGTCTTTTACATTTTTGTATGCTGAATATTGGGCACCAAAGAAGCTGTAAAAGTTATCTTTTTCACCTAATGAATGTGCACAAATAAAAGTTTGGAAAATATTTCTCTTCATACCTGTTCTGTTATATTCCTTTCCCTTTTTCTATTACAGTTGAAATTGTGTAGTTGCAAATTAATTTGAAACAGTGTAAGAATAGATTTTGCTGATAACTTCTGTTTCTATTTGTAGTATGTGTAAAACATTGTGTGTGGGTTAGATTGAAATCTGTAGTAGTTACGTATGTTTATCCGAGGATGAAATTTGGTTTGTTCCCAGTTCCCTTAACTACATGCCAGACTTCAAGTATTTTCTTGCTGTTACCTGAAGACATTTCTAAATATAAAGGTCCACAGCAAGTGTTTTTCTGTGGATGATGAGGAAATCTTATCAACTGAAGAAGCTACTGTAGAAGCAACTGCCCTGTCTGCCTACTTGGATGCAAAAGGAAGAAAGTTACTATGTGAGCATCAGTTTTCCACTCAAGAAGACGGTGCAGTCATGCTAATCCAGCCCCAGCCTATTGCTGAATGATTAATGCAGACCTTTTCTACACTATTCTTACTGTATAGTATTTTCATGACAAGAGCTGCCAACAAGCTATGAAGCTTGATTCTGGCATGTGTTATTATTGGTATTAATCTTGGACTTTCAAGCCAGTAGATGTTTCTCTCAAACGGTGCACATTTGAAGCAGAAGAGAGGTGAATGCTTAAAAGTAACTGCAAATGCTACTTTTAAAAAGATACAATAAATATGTATAAATGTATGTATGTCTTTTCTCCCTATCTCACTGAAGAGAAATGTAATGCTACTGTTGTGTGCTGCAAGTAATATAACAGTCTTGGTGGGTACTAAAAATAGTAAACCATGAGCTGTTAGTGCACTAGAAGTCACAGCTGTGAAAAAAAAGGTGGAAGAACATCCTGAAGCAGCAAATGCCTAGCAGAATGCATTTAATCTGTCTGAGGGGATGGTTATGAAAATCCAAGCTGTCTGTAGCAGAAATTATGGAAAGGAAGCAACAGGATGGGAAATGCTCAACCAAATCCCTTGGAACAAAAAGAAGAAAGCAACAATTTGCCAGAACCCTTAAGTGATACATTCATAAAAGCCTTCTTAAGCTCCATGTAGGTATGAAAGAGAGGATTTATAACCATGAGGTTACTCAGTTGAGCTGAGTTCAACAGTCACAGAATTCATGATAAGGAGCAGGGAAGAGGATGCTTGCTGTATGCAAGCTTTCTGATTTCTAGAGAATATGGACCTCGGCACTCCTGACACTAATGAGGATTGTGTGAAGAATTAGAGCAATGGACAAACTACCATTAGGGAACGCTAGTGTATTGTTACAGTTTTTGAAAGGAAAAAGCAGAAGGTGTTTGAACAATGAACAAAATTGTAATGGGTTTTCCAGGAACAAAGTGTGGTTGAACTAATGAATCAGGATGTGGCCATTATAACTACAATAGCTGTCTTAGATTAGGCTTGCCTCTTTCTCGTTTGGATCAAATTAAAAAATACTTGAATGCTGCCAGTGAAATTCTGGAGCTTTTGTGAAGCGTGTGTCTCTTAGATTTATCTATGGGGAAAGAAGAACATTTTGCTTTTTTATTAGCACTGTCACATAGTATGAAATCTGCCTGTTAGAACAAAAATGAAAGGTAATAATAAGCTCCAGTGTATTAAAATGGGAGCTGTTTCTTTTGAAGTGCTGCTTAGATCTATGCTTGTGGTTTGAGGCCTTTCTAACAACCCACAAGGGAGCTGAAAAGCACACTACCAAGGGAGCATGCTACCAAATTTGCAGGCTGGTATTGAAAGAAGGAAAAATATCAGAGAAAAGATTCCTTGAAATGAAAGATTCCTATCCTTCTAGCTGCAAGGGAGCCTCAAACTGTTTGTGACAAATATGCTTTAAAACCTCTGATGTTGAAGGACATTTAGCAGCATACACTTAGGCTTGGGGATATCAGTCGTATCCCATTGCTGCCCTAAGTCAGTAGGTCTCTGCCTCAGTCTGGTACAAGCCTTGCTGGTGCTGCTGCCTTACTTCTACACGGGTGCATACACACACCCCTTCCCCAGCCTCACCAGTCAAGTCTTTGTTCCCTTTGCTGCCTTCTGCTGCCTTCACTGAGGCTCTGGCTATCGATGCCTGCAGTGGTGATACGGACCCTGGGTGGGACAGCACACCCCAGCCTTCTGGCTCTCGCCTCCAACATGGGAGATGTTGGTTTTGATTAAACTTAACAAGTCAATCAGTCAGCAATTTCCTCAAGTTTTCTAGAGCACTGTTCATCTGTCCCTGGAGTCTCCGGGTGGACCCAATGTGAAACACTGTGCAGTGCTCAGCTGTGGTACTAACAGTGCCATAAAAAGTTTATTTCATGGTCCTTGAAGTGAAGGGTTGGTGCTATTTATACGACTTTCTAAGGGCTCCTCTTTGCAGTAGAATGGTAACTCTGACTCAGCTAGCTTGTGAGTTGTCATAGCCACTAGATCTTTTCCTGCAGTTTCTAGCTCCATTTTATCAGTCTCTAACTTGCAATTAGCATTAGCACAGAAATTTGCACTTATATGTTCAGAATTGTATCCTGGTTTTTAAAGACTCCTCTCACAGATTTGCAAAGCTCTGAATTCCAACCCAGCCTCTCCCAGTTTAGTATTGCCTTCAAATCTAATAACCATATTCTGTTCTGTAATACAGTCCATTAATGAAGATACTGAATAATTTTAGATCTGGGATGATTTTTTTTTAGTGGAGTGCTTCAGAGATCCAGGGATGGAATTTGTAAGACACTATCCTTTTTTTGCCTTACATTTTCATAGTTAATGGGATTATGACTGCCAGTTCTGCGTCATCAGATGTGCAGGCTTTGTTATAGAAGACTGGTACAATTAGGGCTACATTTATAGGGCTATATAGGGCTAAGTCTGTAGGACTACCATTAAGACTAGCTATAATGTTTTTAAAAGCCTCTGACTACAGCATCACCATCTTTTGGAGGTATCTGATGCTATTGTGATCTTTTTAATTAAACCAGCTTTGAAATTATACCTTCTTCAGAAAGATGGTATTTGTACTTAATTTTTTTCTGCACTAAATAGATGTGCTTGGGGACAGTTTAGAAGATCTTACAATGAACCCAAAACCTGTAAGGTTGGGCAGACAACTTCTATGGTATTTTTTGAGTTAAATAGCACTGAAAATTAATAACACTGAAAATATATTACAGCAGAGGTTGGTTTGGGAAGCTGCGATGCTGAGAATGATTTTGCAGAAGCCCCTTTAGAAGCCTAAATGTGATGTAATAGGAATTGTAAGCTGGTATGGGCTTGGATTGCATATACAAAGGTCTGCTATCTAGAGGCAACTACCAAAAAACAGTACTGACCAGAGCAAGTGGGGATGCTCCTGGAAATATGGTAATCCATAGAATCATAGAATCATAGAATGGCCTGTTACCTACGTGGTAAAGTCACAGATCAGGAAACTGATGAATTTCCTGCAACATGGTCTTACTAAAGTACATATATTACTTGATTTGATCTGTTAGTATAAGAATGATCCATAATGGTGTATCTGAAAGACTACCAAGAGTCACTTTGATAGTTCTTGTTCTGAAGCTGAGTTAGTAGAACACAATACTGACAACCGTCCTCCAGCCTAAAAGTGAAGCAGGTGGAGAAATTTCAGTAAACATTAATGCGAAAAAAACTGAGGAAGGTACTAACATGGAGAAACCCAGATAGTAGTTGGATTCAGACTGTTTTTTTGCAAGATCAGTTTACAAGTGTTCAGAATTAATATGGAATTTTTAGGTCTTAGCAAAAGAAAAAAGCTTTACTGTATTAACAGGTCCAGCCTGCAACCTTTTGCTGGCACTTGACAAGTTGTTCTAGATCTTTTCTTCAACAAATGCTTGTCAGGCTTGAGACATACTCATTAGGCAACACATGGCATTGACCATGTGTCCCATATTTTGTTATTCTTTCCATTTCAGTAATAGAAAATGTTGTTTTCTCTAGCAAGAAGGCACTGATATTTTTCAAAACTATTCTTTGTTTGAGCATGTCATGGTTAAAAAAAAAAAATCAGGCTGCATAGTGCAGGGTGAGCTGATCCCAAAAGTGCAAAAACCAGGATGCTGACCTGAGCATTCCATATTAAAAAAAACCCATACCAAACCAAAAAAAAACCCAAACAAACCACAAACAAAAACACCCCACCCCCCAAAATACCAAATCTTGTATGTTTTGGCCATATTCTGGTTCTTGAATTCCTCAAACCTCCAAGTTAAGTTTGAATAAGGTAAAAAAACCAGCCTTCTATGCATAAAACATCTACAGTTAAAAACGTCAGCTGCCCCTTTCACCGCATCACCAGAGTCAATCTCTGACTTCACCTCCCCTTGAGTTTCGTGTGCCCTGCTCATCCATGACTTCTCTCCCACTGCTCCAAACCCAGGTCTCCAGCTCTCTCTGTTACACAGTGCTATGAAGCTTCTATGTGGCTGAGCTCTAATGCATTTTGCATCCTTTTCCTGTTTGTAGAAGCCACAGGAATGCTCTTGCCTTTGCCAATTCTTGCCGCTGCAGTGCGGAGCAAGCTGTTAATGCTGAGGTCGTAGAAGCATGAGGAGGCTCTTGGCCATGGGCTCTCTCCCCTACAGGAGCAAAGGGACCTCTTCTCCTTAGGCTCTTCTGGTCTGTACTGGAACTGTAGACCTGGACCAAAATCTAAGCATGTCTTTAGTTTTTACTGGAAAAATTTGAAGTAATAGAAACCAAAGCTTTTCATGTCTGTCGAAAAACTGGAAGCATCTGAGACCCAGGGTGGAATTTTAGCATGAGGTGGGAACCTGCCGATTCCCCGCAGGGTATGAGAGCAAAAGACTTTCCAGCTTACTGCTTCTGATGGGGCCTTTGGTCTGAGTCACCTACATCTCAGGTGCACAACCCCACCACCTGTCCCTATGTCCTGGGTGTGTTTGATCTCTCGTTGCTTATAGACTTTGTCAAAAGGGCTCACATGGACCCTTATGAGAAGACTTGACTTAATCTTCAGTACA